TGGACAGCAGGGGCACTTCTGCAGAGAATGCTTAAGGGGGGACAGCCCGGGAGACAGCCCCACCCCCAGCCGGGACCCTGCCCTCTGCAAGGGTAACCACTGGAGGTCTAAGTGCCCCCGTCACCAGATGGAAGGCGAGGTGCCTCTTCCTATGGATTGATGGGTCCAAGCCTCCTGGCCACACTCCACTTCTTGGCATCAATGTTGAGGAGCCATAATGGCAGAAAAACAAAAGGTCATTTTCCTCCTAGACAGTGGAAGCCTGTTTCTCTGTTTTACCTTTTTCTCCTGGTCCCTGGTCCAATGACAAAAGTTATCGTTAGGGGCAAATCTGGCCAGCCCATAGAGCGCTAGTTTACCTGGCCTCTGACCTGCTCTTGGGGAGACCTCCTCTTCTGTCACTCTTTCCTCATAGTACCTGAAACTCCAGTGTCCCTGCTGGGACGGGATTTACTATCTCAATTAAAAGCTCAAATTCTCCTCCCCAGGCAGCTATCTCTGCTGCTCCCTCCTTCAGGAACAAATAGATCCCACAGTGTGGACTGATGAGATGAGTGTAGGGTGAGCCAGGATGGCCCTCCCTATTCAAATAAAACTCAAAAATCCCTCACAGTTTCTAAAACAATATCCCCTCAAGCCTGAGGGACATGAGGCCTTATGCCTATCATAAATTCCTTAAAACAACAACGGCTACTAATTAGTTGCTCCAGCCCCTATAATAAATTTAAAATTCTTATGAAAGTTATTTTAAAATACAAGTTACAAAGTAAACAACTGGAAAGGATATAGATAGGTAATAAATGTATTTTTTGAGAAGTTAAAGGAAAAGGAATGGTTTTTTTGGATGAGAAGGATGTTTGTAAAGAAGGGTTTGTCCTAAAGATTGTTTCAATAGGAAGGATAAGGACAACCATCAAAGGGTTTAGTATGTTGTTTGAAGGTCTGAGAAGTTTTAAAGTGTATAATAAAACCTTCGGTGTGTGATAAAATTAAAGTTGAATATAATCTAAGAGTTTGTCTAAAAGATTTTTAGAGTATGTCAAACTTAAATCAAATCCTCTATGTCTATGAAATAACAAGGTTATCTTAATATTGTTCTGCTCTGAGTAACATCTACAAAAAACCATTACAGAGAAAGATTTTATCAAAGAAATTATTTGTGTTTTCTGCTGATCTTGTCAAGCTAGTACTACTAAATCACAGTTCATTTAGAATATTTGCTTATGTGTTTAACATGACACCTTGTAACAGTGTTCTGTTATACTTTATCTAAATATGGGTACAACATTTAGAATTTAAAGTGGTCAATTTTATATAAAATAATATTTTTTTTTTTGTTGGATTTTATATCTTGCAGTGGTAATTTTTTTTTTTGTCGTGGCGTGTTGTAGCGAGGGCTGGGATGGGGAAGGACTTAGGCCCGATGCCTTACGGAACGGGGCTGGAGTAAGTGAACTCGGAGTAGGGTTTAGTCGGAGTATGTTAGACTAGCGTAAGTTATGTGTGTGTTCACGATGCTATAGATGTGTATAGGTGGGGGATCGACAACTGAATAGAGGCACGTTGGTTTTGCAGCTAAAAAGACCTACAAAGCTCTCTTTTATCCAAGAGTGTTGCATTTAAATCTGAACAGCCCTCCCTCCCAAAGGTACCTACCTAGGTGTGACCTTAAAGGGACAGAATCCCTACCTGAGTCATAAATTGCATCAACCCAATCTTCTGTTTCGCGCATCCCATACCATAAAACAGTTTACAGCTTTCCTGGGCAGTTTATAGTTTTGCAGAATTTAGAATTCTAGGTTATGTAGTTCTGGACAGAACCTTTTAATGTCTCGCTATATTCCTATTTGGGTCTTAGAAAATGTATGGCCATCCCTTTCTCTGAGAAAAACTTGCCTCCAACAGACTGTGCTCCTCCGGCTGACTACCTGCCTTCTCAGGGAACTTCTCAGAGAGCATGCAAACCAGATCCTGCTCATCCTATAACAATTTCTGTTAAACCAGGGCATCTTGTTCTCCAAAAAGGATCTTCTACCCTCTCCATTGGGACTTCGATGGACCAGCCCTCATCTGGTCATTCTCATGACACCCACTGCTGTCAAGCTCAATGGGTTCCCCAATGGCAGCACCTCTCAAGAAACAATTAGAAAATGGAGAAGGGAATTGGAGAACTCTTGAAATTATCTAGGGGACAACATTTCACAGTGGTTCTCCTGGCCAATGCCCATCCTGATGCCTGTGTTCTTGCTCCCCTATTCTTAAGCTTCCTCCCTTGTGACATACTGCATGTCTGCCATTGCTAATCAAAAATTTCACCAGTTGTACCTCCAGGGACACCAACCCCTACTAACACATCCAGAAGAAAGCTATAATGGACCCTGCTAGAACACTGGGTTATAAACATCAAGAACCCCTCACAGAATGCCTGCTACAATTCCTCGACTCCCTGTGCGAGGATAGTTGGCTGATATCCACCATGCGGAGGCGGAGGATTGGCTCGAGACTCTTTACAACCCATGGCTACAAGAGACCTTCATCAACTTCAGGGAAGAGGAAATCTTCATTTTGGAGCCTGGGTGTACGCCATGATGAGGCTCACCACCCCAACATTGTTTGCCAACTGACCCTCCCTTCCCCTATGCCACCCCTTGCCAGCTCGAAGAAGCCAGAGTGAACACAACGCCCCCCTTCCTTAACAAACAAAAAAGGGAGGAATGCTGGCAATAATGGCGCCGATAAGTTTTGGTTCTTACTGCACCCTTAAGCTTCTGTTTTCCAGGGTCACAGTCCTGCCTCAAGTCTGGCTTGAACTCTCCTTCTGCCCCAACCTCCAATCAGCATGAACCATAGATCCTAACCAATCAGATCATGCTGAGTCTCACTGAGGGGGTATTTAAGCCCTTGCCCTTCTCTCTCTCTCTCTCTCTCTCTCTCTCCCCCTCTCCCACCCAGCAATAAAGAATCTGCTGGCCAGATCACTCCTCTCTGCGTGGTCACTTTGGGGCCTACATATATCATAGTTCTTTATCTCGCCTACCCCCATTCCTGGAATAGTTTCAACAGGTCTCATTTTTCCATTTATGTACATGTGTACACAATATTTCCACCATATTCACCTCCTATGCCCTTTCCTTATATCCTCTCCCCATTCCCACTGGTACAGCCTCCCTGTTTTGCCTTCCTGTTCTCCATTTTTGGAAAAAAAGAAAAAAGACATTTTTGTTTCTTTAAGGTAGCCATATAGGGAGTCTCCTTGTGACATTTCCATATATATAGATATGTATGTATTTATTATAACTCAAGTTGGTTCATCTCCTCTATTTTTCTCCTTTCTACCTTAGTCTCCTTCTTATGGTGCTTTCAACAGAATGAAAATTCTATATATTCATTCTTGTATAGGAAGTACATCAACCATATTCACCTTCTTCACTTCCTTCTTTTACCCCCTCCCTCTCTCATATGTGACCTCTCCTTAGTGTGACCTGTTTTACATAATACTGCTTGTATTTGTATTAGGTCCATATTCCACATATGAGAGAAAACATGTGCTCTTTGGCTTTCTGAACCTGGCTCACTTCACTTAGATGATGTTCTCTAGTTGCATCCATTCACTTGCAAATTACAAAATTTCATTCTTCTTTATGGATGAATAAAATTCCACTGTGTATAAATACCACATTTTCTTAATCCATTCATCAGTACTGGGGCATCTTGGCTGTTTCCATAACTTACCTATTGTGAATAGTGCTGCAGTAAACATGGGTGTGCAGGGGCCTTTATTGTAACCTGATTTACATTCCTTTGGGTATATCCCTGGGAGTGGTATTGCTGGATTTTATGGCAGTTCTATTTTTAGTTTTTTGAGGAGCCTCCATACTGTTTTCCATAGTGGTTGTACTAATTTACATTCCCACCAACAGTGTAGAAGGGTTCTTTTTCCCCCCACATCCTCGCCAACATTCGTTGTTTGTAGACACAGCCTTTTATTTATGGAATAGCTTCCCATTTTCTTCTGAAAAATATCCAGTTGGCTTCAGACTCCTTACATTCAGCTTGTCCTTCAGGTGTAGTCTGGCAGCAAACTTAGAAGAAGAGAAAATTCTGGAAGAAGTTAGCTTGACCTCTTGACCTCTTGTTCATGATGCTAAGTAGCAGTGACATAGGGAAAAATATGGGTTTGATATTTTTATGTTTAGTTCTTGACCTTGAGGAAAGAATATGAAATACTAATTATGCATTAATGACTTTCAATTCAGAAGTAGCCAGGAATATTAAAAATACCTAAGAGACTCTTATCCTGAGACAAAAAAACCCCAGGGTTTTATTCTTTACATTGAGTCAAAAAGGAGTAGAAAGCAAATAATCATAGGTAAATTAACAACCAGTATGATAGGTTTAGAAAAGCAATTTTAGAAAATGTAACTGAAGAAGTACCATTTATTTATTTGTATCAGAATTGAATTGTCCCATTTTAGTAAAGAAATAACAAAGGAAACAAATGCTTTTAAATGTTTCTATGATGGGGGAGAAATATAGCTTTTCTATTTTTAACTTGTACCAAGTCCCACATAAAAATAGCTCCAAGTAACAGATTTGCTCATATCTGGACTACAAACTTGTTGCAGCCAGTGATTTGAGGAAGTCTAGTAAGAACGGCAGCATTGGTAAATATTGAAAGATTTTCACTTTCTTTTACCCTAGTTTTCTTATCTTGAGAAAATTACAGTTAGTAGAAAAATCCTGGCTCCTCTGTCTTTCACATCTAGTTATTGTCCAGGCTAGAGATCTCTTTGTTCTGAGCGGAAATGATACATTTTCTCCCCTTAGCCTCACCCCATGAGATGGATATGCTATTGATAATTGTATTTCTGTCAGCAAAATATTCGTCAGGTGAACAGATTCAATATTTTATTTGTCTGAAGACTAATTTTGTGTGATTGGTGTGACAACAAAAAAATTTAAGAACCCTAGAAATTAATGGATGTCATTCTTTTTTTCAGAGAAGCTTTTTGGGCCATGCCAGTTTTAAAGTGGGAGAGCTTCTGAAGTCAAAGGAGCAGCTTCTGTCCCTGAGCCTCAGGTGGGTCTCCTGATCACAGAGCACTGTTAGAATTAGAAATTCGTGATGCTCGTTGATGTATGTCTGCTTGCGTTTTAAAGTTACTATTCTTGCAGGTCTTAGACGCCAACTCTCAAATCCCTCATGATTCTATTGTAGCAAGTTATAGTGAAACAGCAATAATGCAGGTTCACATTCAAGTTCATGTTTCACTTAGTGAAAAGTTATCAGTCCTTGTTGGATAAACAGTATTATACTAAAATTAAGATGATAAAAGTATTTGAAGAAAGTATATAGAAGTTATGATTGTATTATTACATACTGTTTCTCTTCTCAAAATGCTACTTTTTAAATCATTTTTACATTTCAAATATGTTTTTTGGGGGCAACATTGCAGTTTTAACACTGTAGAGGGCAAGCTGAGTGTTTTGTTTTGTTTTTTTTTTGCTTGTTGTTATGCTATTAAACCTAAAATGTTGATAATTTAAAGCACGTCTATTTAAAAAGAGAGTAGAACATAGCTAATTCTGAGTATGAGCACAATTTAGTTTGGTATCGAAGATGAGAAAACAGTATTTAGGAAACTACAGACTATTTTAATAGTCTAATATTAGACTATTAGATAGTCTAATATTCTAGATATTAGATAGGGTGACTGCTCCCTTTAAAATGTATAATATCTTTGAAAATAACTGTCTGTTCCTAACTATATGATGAGTTTTATAATTAAGTACAATATATTACCATATATTTGTGTAGTACAAGTAGATACAAAACTTGTTTAGAACATTATTTATAAATCTTAAGACGTTCTTACTTTGAGGAAACATAAAGGTCAATTTTGGGACCAGGCAAAGTCTTAAGTTAGTCCTCTCTTACCCCCCAAAACCATCTTTAAACAATAATTTATTTATTTCGTTAAATATATTTAATTAAATTTCCTTCAATTTATTTTGCTGAAGCTTCTGTGGTTTATGATGGAATCTATACTTCTGGCTTTCTCTTTTTCTGATCCTCATCTTTCTGTATATTGACTTGATAATATACTATTATTATACTATAATATTATAATAATATCATTACACTATACAAGCAGAGAAGAGAAGTAAGTGTTGTGAGTCCCAAAGAGGTGTCATCTACTCTCTAGCTTCTTTTGGGTTATATGTCTTAAACATCTTGTGTTGTATTTTGTTTGGGAAAATATATAAAAAATCTTTACAGTTTTGTGATGTTAGTTATCCCCAATAAATCTTGCTGCTGTTACTATTTCTAGTTTGAAGAATAAAGGGTCAGTTAAGAACACTAGCTGTCAATGTCACTGATACTGGATAAGATATATATCTTCCTGGTATGACAGTTGGAAGGTAGCCCTCAAAACTGTACACTTGCCATACGCTGAGCTAACATAACTACTGCAGTCTATATGTTTGCTCGCCTTCCCTCCCTCCCTCCCTCCCTCCCTCCCTCCCTCCCTTACTTCCTTTCTCCCTCCCTTCCTTAGAAAGAGGAGAAGAGTAGATGGGTCATGTTTAGAACACTATTCTCAGAAGAAAAAAGGAATTTAAAAACTTCAGATTTACATGAAAGTACAACAAATTTTCACCATTGATTTGAATACCACTGATTTGCAGTCATTTCATCTTGCTTGTGTGAAAGGAAAACAAATTCAACAACAAAGAATTGTTTTCTAGAAAAATATTAATTTTAGAAAACCAGTTTTGATATGCCTAGGTTATTATTGCCCCTTTCTGTGTTTTGCCAAATATGTGGACTTCTGTCTCTATGAAGCAGACAGATTATAAATTTATCATAGCCTTTTGATTTCTGGTACAATCATGTACCAGTTTTCTTTTTGTTTCTTTTTGTATAGTTTTCTTTTTGTTTCTGATATAATTTATCTTCTTTGCACTGACTCTGTCTCTGAGGTAGTGAATTAAAAGAACATTAGGTTAGAAATAAGAAGCTTTTTTTGTTTTGTATTACTGTTTTTTTAATATTGCTTTGTGCAGGCTACTTCTGACTTTTATTTATTTGTATTCTGGTTGTGATTTTTAAACAATATAATTAAACAGATTCACAGAAATAAAGCTTATAGGTACTATGTTTGATGATGAAGTTCCTTATCTGCCTGTTGTGTTTCAGTTTGTCATCGTGACTGTTCTGCTTTGTTCACTGTCCTTTTGGGGTCTTTTTAACAGATAATTCAGACTCTAAAACTCTCAAACTGGTTCTACAGAGCACCATGTTTTAATGTGGCCTTGGTGATATGCATGCTTTGATCTGGAGATTAAGTGAATCCTTTAGGTTTTGTACAGAAAACCTAAAAGGGCAAGAAATGTGCATCTAATTTTTCAATTTAGACCCAACTTTCACACCATATGATATTGCGCATTTTTGAAGTTATAGGGTAAAATTTCACCATATGATATTGCGCATTTTTGAAGTTATAGGGTAAAATTTGTTTGCATATATTGGGGAAAGTGTCTCTAATTTATAGTGGTTTCTACTCATATCAGTCATCTTGATTTAAAAGTATGGTTTTCTATGTGTTCTAGCATCCCAAATGGACCCGCTATCTTTATTCAGCATTAATCTCTTTCCCTTTATATTATGTATACTTTGTTTTGCTACTTTACATGTGGTAGTTTGTGTCTCCTCTGACTTCTTTTATATCTCAACTATATTTTCTGTTTTTGTTTTCTAGTTAATTGATTTCTGTGTTGTAGAACTCAGGTAGATTTCTTTCATGAAGATCATTACTTTGGCACAAAAGATATGCCAAAAAAAAAGATATCTTACTATGGCGATAGTAATCACAATGATAATAAGAAAAGCAACTGCATACCATGCACTTTATGCTACAAGTATGTTAGAGATGGCTTATTGGACTCTCGTCAAACCAGCCTATGTTGTTATTTTTTTCTCCATTTCATAAATCAGGTAGCTCTAGAAAGCAATTGATTCAAAGTTATAATGCTCTTAAATATGAAAGGATACATAGGAAACCACCTCTCTCTGACTGCAAAGCCTATGATGTTAATGAGCCACTTCTTGTCTACTGAGCCACTTCTTGTCTACATCAACAAAGCAGACAACTGAGAACCAGTTGAAGTGGATGTCACATGTCTCATAACTTAATGACTGAACCAAACAAAGACATGGGGTCAGGACAATTTGGTCACTGTTTTTCTCATGTTTGCTTTCATCATAGTGCCTGGTGTTCCAATACATGAGGACAGGATAAATGTGAACTTGCCACAGGGACCTTGGGAATGTTAGCCATTATGGCAGAAAGTGGGAACCAGCCTGCTGGTTTAAGGGGGATTGGAGACTGACGGGAGTCAATCAAATCTATTTTCACCCTAGAACCATGACATCAGCAGGACCTGAACTATTTGCTGCCCAAGAATCTGAAAATTATATGTTCCGCTAACCTGTCCTGAATCTCTTGGGACTATACAAGCCAAACTGGAACATTTTAATAATAACTTCTGATTTGATGACAGAATGGAAAAGTCAGATCTGTTACCAGGAATGGTACCAGTAGTCCAGTAGTCAGGGGGACATCACATTTTTCTTAAAGTATTCAAACAACCTCAAAGGTGAAACAACAAAAGAAGCAATAAAAAAGTGAAACTTCTGTCATGATAATCCTTCTCAGAGGGATGGGGACAGAGGGAAGTCTTTCACCATTGCCTGGTTTTGTCTTCTCATAGCATGGGTGTCATTTGGTGTTCATTCAGCAAACGTTTACTGAGACTTTTTCATATGCTAAGAAAGAGCTAGGTTCTTCACAGAAAATTTAATATGGCAGCGGAGTTAATATTCTGCTGTTGATGTTACTAACAGCATGTTTGGTGAACAATGTATTTATTAAGCATCTACTAGTGGTGGGGAACCTGTTAGACATCCTTGTGCATTGTCTTATTATGTATTCCACGCGGGATCATCATTTCTGTTTTATTGCAACTTGTACAAGGCTCCACGGTTGGTGATTATTCAGAATTGGAATGTACACAACTTCTTCTGTATGTATTTTACTACCTTGTAGAATGTCACAACTGAATAGAATTTTAACTTAATTCCTCATTTTTTATTACATCTTTAGGAGAGTTTAGGAGTCTCAATTTCTTTCTTTCTTCTCTTTCTTTCATTCTTTTTTTGAATTTTGGCAGTACTGGGCTTGAACTCAGGACCTCACATTTGCTAGGTTGGTGCCCTACCTCCTGAGTCACCCCACCCTGCCCTGGCCTCAGTTCCTTAATGCTTTATCTTAAAATCAATTTTATGTGCCTGTAACATAATAGAGCTTCAGTAATTGTTTGTTGGAATTTTGATTCATTCCGATGGCTTCCTTATATCTTGATGAGTGCTGTATATAAGCCTAGTGCCAAGGATTTATCTGGATGGATGCCATCAAACTAGGGAGTATAATGTAGTCTAAGCATGAGAGTGTATCTGAAACAAGTAACTTTCATAGCAATAGTGAGTGATAGACTGCAGTCTGCTTGAGAAGCTAAAAACCTTGCCTAGAGTAACAGTTATTCTGTACAGACCACCTTACCTTGAGCCTTTACCTTGCCACAGAAACTTCCAGTTCATCTTACAAGTGCTTTATTATTTCTATTGTAACCTCTTTTACATCTAAGCAACCTCCAACTAAGCAAACGTTAATACCATTTTATCGTTTGATATGATAAAAAAATTTTTTAAAAATTCAGATGTGTGAGCATTTGTTCATAAAAAGAGAATTTGTCTTATTTTCATTTACTACGTCTGCCACATTTTGGTAGTGTTTTCACCAAAGTAATACACTGATGACTCTAAGTGCACATATGGTGTTGTGGTCCATAAAATACAGATGTACAGGAGAGGCCGTGAAAGAACAAAGTTCAACTTCTGTTTGTTTTAAAATTTTCCCTATATGACATAGCAATTCTGCATGTACAAATGCATGCAAACACTCACAGAGTGTTTGGATAAAAGTTTGTATACCTATATTATTTTAGGACTATTGCTCT